AACATCAATATTTATAATCGATATCACAAGAATTGTGTCATTTTGCCCTGTTATGAGCCAGTTCAATCCATAGACTATTTCCGTAAGAAGCATGTTAACATCCTCCAGTCCAAGTAGCAGTCAGTGGCCTTTTCCCATGACATTTCTAACCACATGTTTTGTGTTTGTGTGTGTTTTTTTCTTGTTTTGCCAACCTTACCGCATATCCTGTGCTACAAAATATGTGAGGTTAACAATGGTAGTGGTTCGCATCGTGGTCTCCTGGGATATGACACAGGCTGCCCTTCTCTTAAGAACACTGCTACTAGTACAACTCTGATTTGGACAGAACCTTTACTTTACTTTTATGTCATAGAGCCTTAAAAAATATGCCTCTGTATGGAAGTCTGAAGCAGTCTTTCTTTATAGAAAGTCAAACAGAACACAACTCCAGCAATGCAATAACTTTATAAAACCCATGAAGTTCTACAGAGAGGTGAATCATGTCATGTGGAAATTCAGACACATGACCTAACTGTTGTTGCGAATCATATTCTCTTTTCAGTACATTAAAGCACAGTTTTGGGCCCCCAGTCCAGCCAAAGCTCACAAATCTGATGGCACACAAACTACTCAATGCATACGTCTTACTGCAAGGTTTTATACTAGAATGGGAAAGAAAAACGGTTTGCTTTTATATCATTCCAATTTTAGTGCATGGTGATGCACTGTTAGTCAGACCTGAGTATTTGCCACTGCCAACCTAACCTTCACATTTTGTTACCAAAATTGTTACAGTACCTATAGAAATTTCTGCAGATGGGGGATAAACAAGAGTTGGGTCACATACATAAACAGTTGTTGAGATTTTATGCTCTCACAGTGATGAATATTAAGTGGGATGTTTGTTCCGTTGGTAGTCTGTTACATCCAAATAGACTGCAATCTTAGTAAACAGGCTGTTCTCTCTAATGCCACCACAGAGATGTAGAACAGATGCACATCAGCAACTTCAGATCACTAGACAATTATTCATTTAATGTGAACAGACAAGCAAAGATTATAAATAGGTAACTGAAAAATTTAATAAAATTATGGAATAAAAAATTATGATATAAGAACAGAACTGGGAATTTTCTCATTCAACAAACGTACAAGGAACTGGGGAGAAATGGATGGAACGACATTCCTTAAAAAAAGAAAAACTACAACTACAAATTTTACAGCAAAAGAGATGTCAGAAGACAAAGGAAGAGATGAAAAGAGTCACAAATGAGGCCCCAGCAGCTGATGGAGTGAAGAAGAGGAAGAATTGAAGGGAAATTAATGGGCACTGGTTCAAATTATGTCAAGTTTGCATTTGTAAGGACGAGTTATCAAAAGAAATAAGGTACAATAATAAACAACTATGATCACTGTCTTCCTGTAACATTTTATTGTGAATAAGATTACCAATCTTAAAGAAGAAAAAATAAACAAATATGAACACAATAAACTCTCATTTCTAGTCTGATTGGCTGAAATGTCAGTGAAGACTGTACTGACACCTATACACATTATACATCTCTATAAGAACAGTCCCATTAAAAATTAATGAAAGAAAACTTCTGTCAAAGTGCAACTTGATAAAACGAATATAAAGGAAAGGAAGCACCAAGCAGCCTACATGCAAACTGATCCTACTGCTCCGGACACAGTGATGCAACTTGTCCACGTCACATAACAAAGCAAAAGCAACCATACCACGAGTATTACAATCCTTTCCTTCTGAACACATAAGAGAAATGTGGCAAGGAAGGAACAGAGGAAGTTACACAATAAGAAAGTTCTTCTCTTGTTTCAGATTGTGGTCTTCTGGGTTGTGAAAACTAAAGTTTCATAGTAACTTGCTGCCTCCATCCACATGTAAAAAGTCAGTGGGTGCAGGATGCAGATCTATCTCCTTTTCCCTTCCCCCTCCCATAGGCAACCTTCCTTGCAACCCATAAACATAAGCTAACCACTTCCTCAGCCCTAAGTTCTATCCTGATGATAGAGGCAACATGTTCCTTTGGAACATCAGTACCCACCTACAGGACTACACGGTGTCACAGCACTGAATGCAACAATCAATAAACTCACTGCCATGAAAACCTGAAAACTTGAATTGTTTTCTTTTTTTTTTTTTAGGTTATGTTGGGCTGTAATTTGGTGTTGGGATATCATTTGGATATGGAAAACAAAACAGAAATGTTTATTTAAAATAAAGATACTGGAATGACAGGATAATAGTAAGATATTTATTAAGGAAATGTGTTTTGTGACTGTTAACTACTTCGTTTAACCTGCTTAGATATGGAGTATAACATAGGGGCTTCCACGTTGGCAGTGTTGAATCTCTGAATTCTGTTCCTGAGAAACTGGTTAAGCAGTCCAGGTTCCATCTGTGAGCAACATCTACTTCTCAGTGCTGCACTAAACTCTCCCAACATTAAAATGCAGCACTGACAAACAGGCATTCACAAGAAGATAAATAACAGAAGCTTGGGAGATGAAAATTCTAAGAAATGTAGCTGGATACACATCAAATTTTCAAATTTTGAATATGAAACTCAGAAAGAATGAAACATACATAATTTTGATACTACCATTTTAAATACTGAAAATACCGTAGTTACGCATGTATAGGCCGCGTGCGTGTATAGGCCGCAGCACAATTTTCAGACAGAAATTATAGAAAAAATAATTTTCTTGGAATATTATTTCAGGAGTATTACACCCTGTATTACTAATTATGAATATAATTTTTTTTTAAATGAAGTGTGATTTCGAATATTTCGAATATAAGCCGCACCCCAGTTTTCCTCTTGAATTTTTGGCAAAAAATGTGCGGCCTATACATGCGTAAATACGGTAACTGTGCATGCCACAGGTAAGAAATGACACCTCATCATCTCCATGGGTTCACTGGACAGCACAGGGATCAACCTATTGTTTGTGATGGAGCAGAGCAGAAGTTACAGATGGTGGCCTAACTATGAAAGTCCATATGGCTGGGATTTCATTTTATATTGTTTGATCCCACGGTATGTCTTTGGAACTCATGTTCATGTGTGCAGGGCTGGAAACACAACCATCTGCACTCCACTGTTTTTGTACCATGACTTATCAGGGAGAAGGAAGTATACTGCATTGGCTGTGTAGAGGGAATGGATACAGAGAAGGCAAATGGAATTAAAAAAAAAAAAAAATTTAAAGGAAAGACAACTATGCATGGTACAGAAGAGAGTCAATCTTCACAGTAACAGAGTCTGCTTCTCATTCAGAAAAGGTTTCAACTTGAGCAGGATTGTGTGCATACAACACTGACCAAATTAGAACCAAGGGTGTTACCTTGAGACCAAGATAAGGTTCCACATTATTTCATGCAAGAAAACTATTGCATCTCAAATAGCTAATGCTGAAACACAGCTCAAATAATGACACATGTTTCTGATTCAGACTTACTGTAAAGGTTGAATTCATACACACACAGAGAATGCAACAGCCCACAGCTCAGTCTCGCTGTTAATGGGTTTACTGCAATTTAGTTTACAAACAACTGACATGGACTGAACTGAAGTTTTTGATGTTTCAGTTCTCCCTTTGCTGTTGCTGAAATGATTACAAGAGAACCGAAGGGAGCATGCAACTACACTGTGTCTAAGGAACTGAAGATGCCGCAAACAAAATGGAGACACTTAATTTCTGGAGGGTACAGGCAAGGAAGGTTATAAGGATATAATTTGAGTTTAACTCTCTTCATGCCATGAGCTCAACACACCTGTATTAGAAGTGTCAGAGCTGAACAGACTGCCTTCATGTCAACCACTCAATACATCATCTCTCTCAACAGATGGCATAACCATATTTACAGGAAAGAATCAGGCTTTCAAGCTATGTGCATGTGTGGTTGTTTGTAGGTCATCTGCATCTTCTGCACAACTTTGTTCAGTCCCAAGCCATCTTTATGCTTCTAGTGGGCAGTTCTGTGACAGAACTTGGCAGTCAAGAAGTTAAGGGATGTCAGATATTAAGTAAGATGTGGAAAGCAGGCTGCAGGAGCTGCAGGGACTGCAGGAACAACGTAGTGAATGAAAATGGAAAGGAGGATGTATGTTTGACTAGAAGGCTCAAATATTCATACCAAGTCCTTCTAGAAAACTATTCCTGATTTGGGCAAGCAGTGACAAGTATATAGAAGCTTTCCCCTGCTTTTGCAGCTCTACAGGCCACCTGAGCAACCCTTCCTGGCCCCATGGCACATCTCACTTACTACCCTTACCAACTAACAAAGTCAGGTTTTCACGACAGTCAGTGTTCACATTTTGGTCTGCTGATTTGTGACACAGTGCAGTCTTTTGACAAATACTGGTGTTTCAGAGGAAAACGCTGCTTCCACCTTGTTCCATCCTCAGGGTTGAAAGCAATGGATGTGGGCAGGGGACAACTTTCCTTGCACGATGCCTGTATAAGCCGACTTCTTTATACTTGCCCCACTCACTTCAACCCTGAAGATGGAGGCGGTAACATCAGCATCCAGCTACAATGTTATGATATCAAAAGACCATAATCTGAATATGTATTTCTCTTACAATCATGTCACAACAGAATCACCAAACGTGATGTGGTACTGCTTGTTGGGAAAACAGGAAAATATAAAACTACATTTAATACAAAGTAGTCTGAGGACCACAGAATGGGAAATTATGGTCTAAATGACTTGCGGGCAGTGATTGCAATGAGCAAATTCATGGCAACTGTGTAGAATGACATATCTGATAACTTCAGTATATGGATTAAACTTTTCATATATATTATATCCTGTATCATTAACAAAGCAAAAATCATGCTGAAACTGCTTGGATATTCAGTTATGCTGATCACAGAATCTTTAAGTTATTCTTGGATGTAACAAGGAAGAATCTACATCATAAGCAGATGTATCAAGCCTCTGCTTCTTGATGTCCCATCACTCACAAATGAAAACTTTTAATCTCCTACCATGAAGATTGTGGCAGTATACTTAGTATTCCAAGTCTGTCAGATTGTGTACCATCACAATGAAGGAGACAGTGATATTCGTGGTCACTGCAATTAAAACATCAAATTCACACATTTGTAATGGCTCACAAAGCACAAATGGTGCAAATTATGTATGTGCATTTGGACATTTGTACTACAACATTACACTGAATCCAATTAGCACAATATGGCCCAGAACAAAGCAGCCACAATTTTAACTCAGAAATGTTCTATAATTTTACTGAACTGTGAAACAGGATATGCTCAGGGGAGGAGGCATTAGGTTAAATGCATGTTCAAGTCCTCCATAATGTTCTCAAAGATTCTTCATGTTATATAAATGGCATGTCTTCTGCAGATGATGTAGTTTTCCTGTCATGACATGAAAGCACCTGGTAGCAGACCTGCAGAGTCTGAAGAAAGCAGAAACTTGATCCTGTGCAAATGAAATGCAGCATATCCAGGGTTCAGCTGAGGGTGTGGTCCCCCGTTGCAAACATTCTCCTCACAAATATGCTTCTTGTTCCAGAGCAGACAGCTTTTCAGATCGATGTATCTCACTTTTTTAAGCTGCTAAACTCATGCATTGCATATAAGAAAGTGAGCAGCTTTCCTGAACATGCAACTTGTGCTTTTATAAACACGTCATCTTTCATGTCACCTAGTACTAGGCCATACTGTATGCAGCCCTTTCAAGCCTATCTCACAGAAAGTGCTCAGAGTCTCCACTGTAAAGACAACTTGCTAATGCATTTATTGTGAGAACTGTACAAAACATATAAATATGCTATGTGCGAGAAAAGCAGCCTTTTATGTTAAAGCAAGTCGCTTCAGGATGTTACTGGTCCTCTCAGAAATAATATATAACATGAACAAACTGTAAAAAGCAAAAAAATATCAAGTCTTATATGAGATTACAATTTTTTTCAGAAACATTTTACAAATGAGTGAACATTTCAGGGCTGCTAACTTCTGAGATGTGACACCATATAGTCTGGTAGATCATTATCAGTTTAATGTTTCACAGCATTTGCTGTCTCCCATCTTCAGGACAGAAGTGGAAGCTGAGAATGGAAAAGAGTACAATGGATTTAGAGACAGGCAGGATGGGAATGTTGAACCTATACAGATAAGTAGACTAGTGGAAAGAGTGTTTGGCCCTTAAAAAGGCCCTTTTTCAAGCGCAGAACAACAGGAAGGGGAAGGGAGTAAGGGGAAGGAGAGCAGAGAAACAGTATCTTTTGAAGGGCCACATCCCAAGGGCAGAGCAAGCGGGAGAAAGTGATATGGTGGGGGGGAGGTGAAGAAGCGCAAGAGAGAGAGGAAGAATTAAGGCAATGATCCACCAGTCTATGCAGGAATCTTCATAGTCAATCCTCTGAGGACCTCAGACATGGCAGAGCGAATATTTCAATCTGAGCGCATAGCAAAGCACATGTTTAAGTAATCTGTGGGGGAAACTGCATTTAACAAACAAATTTTAGCAAGAGTTCACAGTAGAAAGTTTCATCTACAGCAGCGATTCTCAACCAGTAGGACATGTCCAACTGCTAGAAATTAATGGTTTTGGGACAATGTCCATAAATTCAGTCATACAGTACTTCCCTGCGCAGTAAGCAGTGCACTTGTGTTTGCACACAGTGACACAAATTTAACAAGGAGTTCTGGGAAGAACTAATCACCTATTTTCCTTTGATATGACATGGAGTGCATATAAAACAAAAAATTTAGGGGGAACACACAGCCTAAGACAGGACTGTGATGTCATAAGCCATCTTCCATTTTTTCAAAATAAGAAATGTATAAATCGTTACACTATGTACGTATTTAAGAAGTGTCATTAATGATTAATATGATACTAAAATGTATACAAATCTAAAAATAGATTTACTGGAACAGAGAGAATCTTAGTTTTTACTGTGGGTGGGACTGCATGACTGGAAGGGTGCAAGGCACAAAGTGTTGAAAATCACTGCTCTAGAAGAGCAAACACATTCTGCTGTTGTGGGTCGTGATGCTGCCAAGTCTTCACAGTAGGAGACAGTCATGTTTCTGCAAAATGTTGGCACCATCTACCAAACTACACAGTGCCATGATCAGAAGGCTACAATATGCATCTTCAGCAGCACAAAAAGCTTAAACTGCATACGCACACACATACACAACTGGACAGGCTGATGATGGTTACTGACATGTAATACATTCTCACTGTGATTTTGTGTCTGCAACACACACTAGAGAGGGGAACACAGACTTGCACAGCCTGATGTGACTATTGTGCGAACATAGCCCTGTTGTCCTTGAGTCTGACTCTCTATCACACCTTATACACTACACTTCTTCTAATAAAGTGAAAACTGATTCAACTGACTTGTCTAAATGGCAGTTTCACTGCGTCTTCTCACCAACAAATATTGTTCACTTCTGATGACAAGCAGGAGACAAAATCCACACTTCATGCCCCTTCAGCCGTTGTTCTGAGTGATCTCACAGATGCAGCAGTGTGGGAACCAGAATATATCTGTGTACAGTCGATCTCCGCCACCCTCCAGTGCTACCAGTCTCTTCTGCACATACTGCTGCTGACAGCGAGAGGAGTAGCTGCCAGGTATTGAACACAGACCACTACACTGACTGGTACTGCAACACAAGATATGCCTGCACTCACCAGTTCTTATCTGAGCTGAGGACAAGCCTCGTGTGGCACATTTTAATCTTACAAAACCTAACGGGAGTACTGCTACTTTGCCAGACAGAAGACGTGAATGTTCTTGAAGCCTGAACTACATCAAAGTAATACACAAAAATTAAATTTGTTCCTCTCAGGAAACACTGCATATCCATTACAAGGACCAATCAGTTAACGCTCTTTAGGTTAATAATCACTGTTTATTGTGAGAATCATATAAAACTCACAAATACACAGTGTAGGCAGAATGCAGATTTTCTTGAAGTTAAAACAGGTGGTATGTACAGTTACTACTGTGATTTAAAGTGTAAATTACTTGTGGTCATAATATAGAAGTACATCCATGCCTTATGTGGAATTTGAGCGGAAACACAAAGTACCAGACTTGAATAGCAATGCTTGTCATCAGTGGTGATGCAATATTTGTTACATTACTTTCCAAAGAAATATGTATCAGGAAGAATATATATGCATGAGAAAAGACGAAAATGCATTGTACAGATTCATGTGAGACCAATATTTACCAGCTTGAAGTGAACAAAACAGATTTGAAATATCAGATGCATACCCATTTCTTCTTGTGGGGTTTCCATTCAAGAGCCAGTGAACAGCCCACAAGAAATGTGATTCAAGACACAGTTTTTGTGTTTACCAAATCACAGATGGAAATGAAAGTAGCTTAAGAGATGTTGTTTGCAAGACTTCTGTCTTGCTCTCTCCAAAAGCTGTTGCTTTATGTGATATATAAACAATTTCACTGCATATTAGATTGTTTGTTCTCTATGAAATGCAAATATATCAAGTGTTTCCTGACCACTCAATCACCAAAGCAATTATACTTATTTAAATATAAAATAGGATAGTTAAGTAGTGCTGTAATTACAGCTGAGGGCTTGGAAAACGCTGTCCTACTCGTAATTTCTAGACAATACCAGAATAGAAAGCAGAGCAGATAATAAAACACATCAGACTGAAATGAGTGAGCTGAAACACATTTCACAAAAGTGTAAAAATAAAAAATGACTCTAACAGATGCAGTGAAGGCAGGATTATTTAAATATGCTTTTAATGAAATAAAACCCTGACTATTTGGGATTTTTAATCCTTGCTGGAAACAAGAATAATGCCACACAATGAAAATGATTCCAATAATCCCCATTTGTAAATGGAGATAGAAATTATAGAGGTAACAAGCTTGTAAATTATACATCAAAATAATTATTAGAAAAACATGAAATATTTAAGAACATATCCTGGTAGACTCACATACAGATTTTATTCTGAAATAAATTATAGAAAACAAGAAGATTTTCCAAAAGATACATGTTCTGTTTGTAGGTTATGTACAAGATCCATCAAAATTAGACAAAAATTATTATGGGAAATACTGATGACAGGAGACTCAAATTACTTTTAATTGGAGTATAGATATAAAGATATAAACACATACGATGAAAAGTAATGTAAATCTTGAAAAGATGTATTGCACTGATTCCTGATTAATACACAAATATACTTCTTGACTTATATACTGATGACACTTTTATATGTTAGAAATGCAGAATGACCACGTGATGATTGCCAGTACTCAAGGAATATTCCAGAGAGCTGCCTCTTCTTTTAATAAACTATTAATTTGTCATATATTCTAAAGTTCCTAAATGGAAAGTGAGTTCGGTCTTAGAGTTTCAAGACAAATATTTTCTAGGAGGTATATGTCATAATTGAGGTTAAGTGAGTGAAGAAATACTTCCATTTTCTTGGCTGCCATATCTCGTGTTCTAACAACTAAGGCATCAAGAACATAATTACAAGACTCAATCATATCTGTGGGGCCATACATAGAACACTTAAAACATAAAACTGAGAAGGAAAAGAACTTTTATAAAAGAGCTGCCCTCTCAGTATGTCTGCATGGATGTGAAACTTGTTACCAAGAGAAGTAGATCACAGACAGTAGACACATAATCTTTCACAGTTGTGTGTGGATTCAGAATGCCTGACAAGGAATAGAAACATTAACACTTTACTGAAAGTTCAAAATTTAAACAAAATGGTAGCAAAAGAAATAGTAACCACATACAAGGAGCATGAGGAGTGATTTTCAACCTTATGCCATCTTCCAGCCTGCTGACATCTTGTCCAGAAACTGCAGCCCCACCACAGCAAGAACAGAGCTTCTCTTTTTCTCAGAATGGTACATTTACGGTTATGTACATTTTAGTCTTGTATAAATTATTAATGGAAATTCTTAGGAACTTACGGAGTGTAACAGTTCTTCATAATGTAGCTGTATAAAAACAGTACAGATCTGTTACAGTAACTATGATTACAATGCAGTGTTAATGGCAAGCCTGTGCTCACAGTGAATGAAAGTCAATGTGTAACTGAATTCTGTGCGACTGAATTATTTATTAATTTTTGGAGCCTCTTGTCCATCCCAGCTGATTGTCAAGTCTCACATATTGAGAAATACTGACACAGAGGACAAAAGTATTATAAAATTAGTAACAAAATTCAAATCCAATGGGAAAGGGTAACTGGGATGATGATGAAGAAAAGATGGACAGAAGAGTCTGGTGATGTAATAGTTTCCTCAGCCTACTTAACACAGAAGAGTAAGCTGAGTTACAGAGTTGACAATATCAAATGTTTGTAGTTCATATTATGGCTCCTGCAGTAAACCCAAATGTTACTGGGTAATGACCATGAAACAAACGATGAAACAACATCTGCTGCCAGGCACAGATTCTCAATAAGCAAATATATGCAGCCATTAGTGAGTAATGCCTTTGCAAACAAACAGGTTCCTAAGCAATGAGTTCACGCGCAACAATAGAGGAACTGTTGGTGGTCCACGCCAAGATATTATAACAGGGACAAGTTTAAAGTTAGTCAGTTGTAATGGAGTCTGTGAAGAGAAGGCTTACTTGGTGCAACTGAGAGCCAGTGGGCAATGAATTGAGCGCAGAAACTGAAGAATCTTTACTGTTAGAAGCTGTTACCAGGGAATGGCTTGTGAAGGCACTGCAGGATGGAAAAGGCTTAGCGGGTGTTATAGGGATTTATAAAATGTGTAGATCAGCGATAGCATTGTAAGTGCTTGTAGTTCTGAGTTGTGTGTATAAGTGGTTAATAAATCCAATGTCAAATCCAAACCCTATGTATACGTGACAATATATACCAAGAGATCCAGTCAGAACTGTGAGAGGTGAGGGTCTCACAGCAGTGACTGTGAATATTAGTGGGGGGTGAAGTCCAACTGGGTCCATTAGGCATGGCGGCCTCTGATTGGTCCATTTTAGCCTGCCCTGGGTGATTATGATGATGGAGAATTTGGTGGAATGAAGATTGGCAGGGGAAACCGAAGTACTCAGAGAAAACCTGCCCCAGTGCCACTTTGTCCACCACAGATCACACTTGACCAGACCCGGGATCGCAACTAACCGCTTGAGCTATGGCACAGCCCCGACTGAATGTTACTGGCTTCTGGGTGTGATGCCATGTAGTCTGGCAGAGACATGACAGTCCTTCAGCTGCTGTACTCACGTGCAAGTCTCAGTGCCAACCAACTGCGTGTATCTGTCATCCACTTCATTCAGGTTGACCACAAACATCCAGTTCCCTCTGTTGTTCATTGCAGCTTTGGGCATGATGAACTCAGTTCTGGTAGGGCACAGCTGGTTGTTTGCGGCTTGCCTCCGTTTTCTGGAGTGAGACTGGGGCTGATAGTTGCTGCCTATGGAACCTTCGGCATTTGAACGTGAATACCTGTTTGCACCAGATGGCATGCCTATAAGATGCTACACAATGTCATGGAATATTCTCTTCTGAATGACTGACGTGCTACTGAAAATATGAGTGTACAGAATGTCCCAAATGTTCAGTTTCTAAATTCACCTAACAAACATAAATTTCAGCAAAATTAACCAACTCCACAGAGCAGAGGAGCTTGACAAGCTAACAGTCACTCAGCTACTCAAGAAATTCTCCGCCTTCTGCAGAGCCCATAAGTTCATTGCCACTGGTCCTAACACTGAGCAAGACCATCTAGCTCACTCTCTTACACTCTATTTCTTTAAGATTTATTTTAACGTTGTCCTTCACCTGCTTTCACTTTCTTAGACATTTAAGTCATGGTGGTAGTTAAAATTTTATGCTTTATGTTTTATGTTAGTTGTTGAATGGCTTCTTTGTTATGTTGGCAATTACATGCATCTGAGTGTCACTATTTCACTGGTGCATACTACCATGATGATGTCATGATATCATGAACATCTTCAACTACACTAGACATCTGCTATGTCATCACAGCTAATTACCTCCCCCTCACATGCTTGCCTTACAGAACCAAATGACAATGTCACTTTCCATGTCATGACAGCAGCACTGTTTTATCTTCACTTACTCTCTGTTTACTGTCTAACAGTGCTGCCAGTAGTTCTCACAGTAATATCGAACAGTGGGGTGATCAGTGAAGAAGAAGGCGTAAGCTAATGCGAGGTACAACCCCCAGAATCTTCTTGAAGGGACAAGAAATCAATTCAATTAATATATTTTATTGATTATTTACTTATTTTAAAATACCAATTTTGGGGCATTCAGCATTTTCAGGGTTGAATTCATGTGTAGCTTTAATGTTATACACACATCTTCCTCTATTCCAGTTTAACTATATTGTGACATGACACCTGAAAGCCAGAACAGTGGAACCAGAGTCAGACGTCCGTCGATAGGGAACAGCTAAGTTTCTGTGACAACAGATCACACAAAGGTGTCATTCCCATGTAACAGGTTGTAAACATTTAAAAACAAAACAATTGCTTGTGAGTGAATACATGGATTTCCATGGCAATGGCTATGCAGAGTACAACAGACAAACTGTTGTAGTGGGTGTTCTCTATATGGTTCTCCCGAAGTTATGAAAGGAGGGGGATTTGCCAGAGAGATCAAGAATATAAGAGACTACACACTCGTCAAGTTTCATCATGTTAGCAAGCAGGTAGAGCAGTTATGTGAGACCCTTAGTTGCAGCTGAGAAGAAATCCGCTGAGGAGAATTCAGAGGGCAGCTGCATAGTTGAAGTTTTGACATTATTTCAAGTGTGTAATTGTAAAAGAACGCCAATAAATACATTCATCCGATCTAGAGTTCATTATTTTCATCGTGCGTACTGCCCTACATGTGACAATATTTATAGCAGATGTTGGTGCAAATTTCAAATACAATTTAATGAAAACTATTACTTTGTCAAAATATATATGAATAATTGTACTCTATTGGACTTTGAGCTCTAACTGTGGTGACTATGAAGAGTTTGTCTTCTGGATTACAATGCCATGCAGTTTGGACAGAGCCCAGCATTTTAGAGCAACATATTGTGACGCATATAACCATTTCTAGGCAGTGGCTAAGTAAACACAGTCCTGAAGCTGTACTCTCAACAATAGGACATACGTTGCTGGGTAATGAACCAAGAAACAAGCATTCTTAAAGAAAGGCGTTTTCTATGTGGTCATCACTGAGACTGTTTGCTAGGTAAATGCGTGGTAACATGCCTCTACAACAATAGGCAAAGCTGTGTTTTCTGTCCTGTGTGGTCTGTGCTGCGACTATATCAGGGAGGAAATCTGAAGGCTAGGCAGAGTCAAGAGAATGGGTATACAATGGCGTACAATGGCAAGCACGAGAATGGGATTTGTTGGTAGGATATAGCCATGAGAAGTCAGTAGTTGAAGCAGAATTGCAAGTCAGTCTGTGAAGACTTAGTGTGCGGTTAGATGATTCAGAAGAATTAGTCACAGTGAGACTGTTTTAATTCCGTTATCAGGATACGACTAGTGAAGACTGAGAATCCTTGTAATGGTGAACAATAAATTGTGTAAATCAGTGATAGCACGGTATTGCTTGTAAGCACAAGTTGATTGTGTAAGGTGTTAATAAATCCTATCCAGACTAAGTATATCGTCACTAATACATGTGACACTATCACCTCCATCTTCAGGGCCGAAGAGTAGGCCTAGCAAGAAACTAGCTGAGTCAAACTGGGCTTGGCTTACTCCTTGACACAGAAGATGAAGGCGAAACACCGGGCTCTCTCTACACCACATGGCACTACAACCCACAACACCCTGCTCAATGTAGTCACTCTGTTTCTATAGAGTATTAATATTAATATTAATATTAATATCATTATATCCAAAGTGATGAACTGACACTGGGGAAAGACAACCTCATAAAACCTTGACATTTATAAACATAAATATAAAATTATTTTTAAAAAAGTCATCAAAACAAAATCTCATTTTTCATCTACATATATTTCATTCACCCCATATGGAATACATCCCCCTGAGCTCTGTGATTAGTAGCAGGTGACAGACAGGGAGCCTCGTGCCTAGTGATAAAACCGGGCCAACCTGTCACTGGGGGATATAAATACAGAGACCTGGTCCTCCAGGTTGGGGGTTCAGGGTTGGGTGCAAGGCCAATAAACCTTGTTCTGTAAAAGAATTATTGCTGTGAAATCTGAAGAAGTGGAAACCAGTTGGTCTAACTTAATAGACAAATATGGCTGAATTTCCTAAGGAAGGCTATAGCTCAAAAAGGGCTGTTCTGCCAATGATGATGATATATCTTATTCTTATCTGGCATCTGCAATTAAATGCTTAATTATACTGCTGCCATGCATCTGTGGAATGTTTGGCAGAACTTTGGCTCAACCAGTTACGTGAATCTGTCTGCATTAGGGGAGAAGTCAGAGTCAGGAAATGGCCCCATTGCTGCCGTAACATGTCCTGTCTGTTTGTGACCTGCCACCACACTTCTAGTTGCTTGCCTCTCCCACCAGTCATCCGGGTTGTATGGCGTTGTTGGCTGTAGCAGTGTCGTGTACAGGTAGGGTCCTGGTGTCAGGAACTGTGGCGGCAACTTGTAGCGTCTGTCTGGGTAGCCTCCATTGCTAATATTGCCCACAAGATCCACTCCTGGATAGTACGAGATGCCCGGAATCTTTGGGGGCCCATATGCATAGCCAGGATGGACTGGTGGCCCATATGTCACAGGTGCCCTGGGAACATATTGAGGTCTGAGTTTTTCGTATCATATTTCAGTCTCATGTGTAATGGCAAGACCACATGTTTCAAATGGACTTACTGGCTCCATCTTCATGGCAAAATAATCCAGAAGACTGTGCATTTTAAGTCATACTGAGACACTAAATTAAAACACTTCTACACCTGAAACTCTGTAATTTCACAGTGTCAGGAAAGTTGTAAGTTATGGTGAGTATTTTCCAACAGAATATTTATTAATAAGGCAGACAGACACTTTACAACCAGTCAGAATTCCCTTGTGTGTTTTCAACAACCCAGTGCAGGTCTTGCAGGGCACAATGCCTATTATTTAAAAAAAAAAAAATCTATATGAATATAGTGTACATAACAAAAAATATTAACCTCATTAGTGGATACATCCTTTGTGTGAAACATTTTGTGACCTAACACAGGAGTTCTTGAACTCTGTGATACTAAAACCTCCTAAACTGAAAAATGAATTTACTGGAACCCCCATCTCTGTTGGTCAGTGAAAACTGCACCTCTGTACACTGTTGCAGGTTCCTCCCAGGCTGCAGAAAAATAACTTCACAGCATATGGGCTGTAAAATATTCATACACAGTACTGAAATTTCAGGAAATGTTCTACTGGCTGCAGCTACATTTTCTGAAAGGACCTATATTAAAACCCACTGATTTGCTAACTTGACAAAACTGTGCGTGGATACAACCCCCCTTGAGCCAGTTTGCAACCCCCTGCTTGTGAAACCATGACCTAACCTACATACAAATGCCTTGAGCAAGCAAGCCATGTGTCAGCACTATCAGATGCTCAACGTATATTGTTCTCCCAGCTTTCCTCTGTGGGTTCCTTGCCTCTCTGATTTGGGTGACAATGTTAGTGGGGTTAGTGGAGTTAGCTAGAGTTTCCTTAGATGACATAAGTGGAACATAACAAGCCATACACCTGGCAATGTAAGTAATTTCACATTATATATTTTGGGTTTTTAGTTTAATTTTATCCATTGCAACAAGAATAGTTTTCACACTCTAACAATCAGCCAATAATCTGGTCATGTTGAATGAAGTAATGTGCAGGACTAGGTTATAATGGTTGCAAGAATGACATACTGACAGAAGATACACAGAAGATTCATTGAGTGATGGTTTCCTTAGAACGTGATATGACAGATGAGGAAACTGTGCGAACATTGCAGAAAAAAATATAGAGTCCACAGAAACAGATAAATCTGGAAGTTATTACCACAATGATCATGGAAGTAATTACAAGTGTCCATTCTTTGCCCATGCGTTCCTTGAAATAAACTATACTGATATAATGAAATTACTTATGTAGCAAGACAATTTGAAATACTTTCCTGTGGACATATTTTCTGTTTCATAAAGTTGAATCACACTTTTGTACATTTGTAAATGAGCACTGTACACCATCCAACATGCTTCCTTTCCTTTCTACAGAAGTATTCAACAATATATGTTTCAGTAACTGAATGACCAAGAAACATGTTTCTAGTTGGACTGTATAAAATGAATATTAAAAGAATTAAACCTCAAAACAAACATTTGACAGCAAGTACACAGAAACACTTACTGAATGTGCATGTCAACATATATACATGTACCAGCCAAGTCCAGGAAACCAAACCTGTTTATCACAAATGCATAACTCAGAGTGCATATCTCAGAATGCATCAAGTTTCACAATAACAATTATTTCAAGTTGAATATTTATTATCATTTGGGGTGGAGTTTAAATACTTCTTGTCTGATTTCAACAGAGAACAGTGACATGCAAGCTGATCTGGATTAAATATCTTTGTTAGTTACCTGTAATTGAAGTCGTCACGTGACTCATCGCTGAGAAGTGTTCTGTAGTCATAGCCCCATCTCTCAATCAGATAGCGTATCAGCTGCCTGCAATACAGGAGTAAGGATCTCTTTTCATTGGGGTTTCTTTATCTAATGACTGACATGTTTCTTTTGTCAGTATATTTAAAATAGTGTGAACCACAGAAATTTGAAGTTTTCACTAAATATTATTAAGCTGTGTCTCAAACATCTCTGAGGGTGTGCCAACTGCAGAGAGTGATGTAGGAAGTTACTAGATTCTTCTGCTTTCAACATACAGTGGAAACCAAAACTGCACTGGAGGTATCGTTGAATGCACAGCACATTTCTTGCACAGGGTTGCCTTCTCATAGTACGATACATTCCCAGACAACTCAGATACCAGAGGATAGGATGGATGTTGCATGAAGCATGAATAGAATATTTAAGAGATGTGTACAAAGTTTTGTTTTTAAACCTGAAGAGAGTGGCCCACTTGGAAAATGCAGAGAGGAGGAAACCTATAGCTAACAGAATATGTGGGGACTAGGGGGAGCACAGTAGCATAGTTAGTTGAGGCACTATGCTACAAACCAGAAGTGGGTTAGAGACCCAACGAGATCACCAGATTTTTCAATTGACCTAATCCTTCCAGTCACACTATGGGCCTGGGGTGACTCAGCCTCTAACAGAAATGAATACCAGGAATCTTACTGGGTGGTAAACGGCTGCCAGAGCGTGAGGCTGACAACCTCACTGCTATCAGTGGGCCAACTCTCTAGAAAATGTGAGAACCTCGACATCTCACAACCCTATGTGCCTCCACGGCCTTTTACAGGGATAGCTTTACCTGTTTTATGTGGGGATCAGACTGCATTAATCTGGCTCAGGAAAGGGTCCAATGGTGGGGTGTTGTAAACTTAGTAATGAACATTCGGTTTGTATAAGAGTCTCCATGCTTCCTGGAGTAGTCACTGTGAACTGCTGACGTTATGATGCAGTACTGCTAAATGGACAATGGCAGTATGCTTAAGTGATGTAATTCTTGAAGGCCATGGTTGGAGTGGGTGGGGCCTCCATCAAGGTATGTTCAAACATTCACCTGGTGGACTGCAACAACTTCAGACAGAAAAGTTGTCTCCAGGTCTAGATTCAAACCCTCGTCCTCCAGAACACAGCATGGATACACTGACAGGTGACAGGGAAATTGTAATAGGTCTCTTGGCGCATCAGATGCCCGTGTCACGTTCCGACCATTTTTACGCGCAGAGAAAGACTTCCAGTGTTCATCAAATAGGAGGTCTGTGACCCTCATACCGTTTCGGATGTAAAGGTAGAGAGACACAGCAACAGTTCACTCTGTCAACGGAAACCCAACCGTCGACTTCACTGCGTTTCTCTGCCAGAGTTTTCATATTAACTACCTGAGCCAATATTGTGTCAAACGGTGCTTTGATGAATGAATCATCAGTTGTACAGGATGTGGAATAAGCTTAAGTAATTGGTGAAGGGTCTGAGGCAGCCATGATAGCCAGTCCCCCAGAGGAGGTTTCAACACGGGACTTCCCGAATATGGTGCATGATTGCTAAGCATTGCACTGCCACCTTCCATTCCTGACAATCACTGGTCCTATTGGCACAGTGCAGATCTGTGTGCCGTTGTTTCGGGGCGACCACACAGGCACGCACGCACGCGCATACGCGCGAATGTACGCAGACTTTACCGCACCCGTCAGATCGACACTGGGTTCCACACAACCTCTGATCCAATAGGTGGCGCGGATAAAGCGGCCGGAGTGTTATAGTTAGCCCCATCTAGTGCCCAAGTTAAAACTGTGTGGAGCCATACCTTAATCCTATAAAGCACAGTGGTACCACTGTACCACTTGCTCTGACATTCTGCATTCTGCCCACTCAGTGTATTTATGTGTTCCGTATGGTTCTCACAGTAAACAGCGACTGTTTCCCTAAACAGCATTAACCGATTGGTCTCTGTAGCGGAGACGTAATGTGTTTACTGTGAGGTACGGACAGAATTCTTATGTCTTATTTAGATGAACTCCAGGCAGGTTGGATCCTGAAGGTCCTGCGACCGGCCAAGTCGATCAAGTTTTCCGTGGTTTTCCTCGGCCCTAGAGCAAATTCTGAGTTGGTGCGCAAATTCTGCATTGCACTGCATGCTTCACATGCAGTCCTCCCTACGGCAACCTCAAAATTTCGCCATACTGTAGCCCTTCAAAATAATTTCCATGATATGCATATCCTGTACCAGAAGGACGAGCTGGAACTGCCTGGGAACCTTCAAAACTAGAGATATAGTTTATTGCCCCAAACGCAGTGACTCTCACTACCTCCCCACTTTCTTTCTCTTCTCTTTTCTTCTCTTGCGGGCGCCAAAGGGTTAATAAAACCCAGGGACAACTGTAACTACACATTTTTTGCTTTTAAATCGGTGAATGGACGGACAGCCAGACAAAGACATATCAGGTTGCCGAACAGTCATCACAGGTGAAGCAACTGGTTTTGCATGACGCATGACGGCCATGGTGCAAGGTAGCAAGGTACTCCGTCACGGACAAATGACGTCAGAACAAAGGTGATTGTCACTTCTTATAAAGACCGCCAACGCCCCCATTTCAAATCGTCCGTCCATTGTTAAAGCTGTTTCTGTTTACATAGAAAAAGTCTGCCACAATATTGCCTGCTTCACACTTGTTATTACTGCGCGCTATAATTTGGTTGTTCAGTTCCTATACCCTGTGGTACAGCGATACAAGTGTGGGAAAGTGAACTCCAGTATGTAGTCCACCTACGGCGTTCTTTGCACAGTACAGTAAATTTGTAAGATTTGAGGCTTTCACGGCGGTGACTATGAAGAAAGCAGTCTTCTGGGATTTGGCACCGTGTATATGTGGTGTTAACCGACGTTTCGGAGGAACGTCGGTTAACACCACATATACACGGCGCCAAATCCCAGAAGACTGCTTTCTTTACAGCAAATTTATTTAAAGTGGGAATAAGGAAAAGCAATTGTGTGCAATTCTCCCACATCGAATTTCCGCGAAATACACGTATGTACAAGGGTCTAAGGGAATCAAGGCGAGAGGTCCATTTGTGACCTTATAAAACCCAGGTTTATTACGGATCTACTTGTATAAAAACCCAAATTTTGGTATAAGTCTCGTATACTGAATTTCAACTAAACCTGTCCAGCCGTTTGCGTTACTTTCGAGATGGGCGCCGAAACGAATTTGCGTCTTCATACAAAGTGCAGTTATCGTTGTCCGATCTTAACAGAGTCTGGGATATTTACACAAATGTTAGTAAAACTACTCAGTATCAAATTTTATGAAAATCCGTCCAGTGTAGTTCTCGAGTTCTTGCATGCGGACGGACAAACATGGCGGAACTAGTAACTCCTCGTTGCAGTCGCGCCAAAATGAAGTCTCCTTCTGATGAACACTGGTTCGACGGGTGTAGCACGGTTCAAAGACTGATATGGACAGAACCGGCTCAAAAATTAAAATTAAGAAGTTCTGGGAAGAACTAGTCGCCTACTTTCCTTCGACACGACACGGACGCAACAGAGAAAGATGACTCCAACAATTCTTCGTTGCCACAGAGACGTCTTTACCGAGTTGATAACTAGCACTGATAGCTGGGTTACACACACAGACACACAGACTGATTGGTGGGATTTATGGAGTGCACCGTCGATATGGCCTCAGGTGTCATGATATACATACGTACCAAGTTTCATAAAGGCATTCAAAACTTAATAACGGGAGGGGGGCCTCACAGACAGCATAAGCCTACTACAGGGAAGTAAAGGTAAAGCTGTCCCTGTGCTCAATTAAGCACTATGCCATGAAGGCGTATGGGGGAGTGGATGTATAGATACTTAGGAAAGTAGACTAAAAATGTGCGAAAAATTGAGGTTAGTTCGCATGCGCTGAAGATGGAGGCATTGTTCCTAGGATACGCTGGTGCCCATCTACCAGAATACACGAAGTCACAGCCTGAAGAGCTCCACTATGCCCGGTCGGCATCCCAGACCACGTGGCACCAAATGATACGATCATGGCTGTGGTCTGATGAGGTACTATCCCAACATCTGCCTGCTGGGACTGAGAAAAGCGAGTAGCCTCGGTCAGGATTTGAACATCAGTCCCTCAGCTCTCTCAAGTCTAAAGAGAGAGAGAGAGTGGTGGGAGTCTAAGCTGTGCTCACTAGCCCGGGTGTTCAGGAAAAATGAATGTATTGATTCTGCTGGAGAGAAAGTGACACTATAGTGAACAGGCTACGGACTGAACGACGGAGGAATCTGGGTTCCATTCTCGGCAGGGGCAAGGGATGGATGACTCCGAGGCGTGTGTGCGTGAAGCCACGGGGGGCCAACATATCTGGGTGTCGCTGGGTGACCCAGATACCAGGGTCAGTGTCTCTCTGCGGGAGAGAGTGCGTGAGTCATGTTGGCTTTCATCTCGTGAAACCGCGATCTGCTTTCGCTGCTGCATTCCACGCTAAAGCAAGGTCGGCCGGGCGCGCCGCAGTGCCAACGGACGGCTTCCTCCCACGGAGTCACCGCGGAGACCCGAGTTCACTCCCCGCACGCGTCATGCGACAAGTGTGTGGGGGGGGGGGAAACGGAACTGTGGTAAGGTCTCCGGTCACTTTCTTCTGCCGACGATGCACGCTCACCGACCGTCGGCGTCGCTCCATCCATTGGGCCCCCTGGATTGAGGGGCCAGCGTCCGCGCCATGCGCTTCCACTTTCCAAAAATCTAAGCCAGAAAGAACTTTCATTCTAAACTGCAACATAAGTTCTTTCTTTTTTCCTCTTTGTGGGGTATCGCAATCAATGGACAGTCCAGCAACAGACACAAAAAGGACGCCCAAAGTACCCCTTTTGCGTCGGCGCGTCTGGCACTCTGCAGTTTCAGTCACTGTGACTCAAAGAAACATTTTGCAGAAAGATAATGTTGAGGTCGTGCCATTGCTCAGGCGGTTAGCGCTAGCTTCCCGCCGCGGCGGCCCAGGTCAGGTCATGCGGGATTTGTGGTGGACAAAGTGGCACTGAGACAGGCTTCCTCCGAGTACCGAGTACTTCGGTTTCCCCTGCAAATTCTCATTCCACCGACTGCTCCACACTCATCATCTATCATCATGGCTGGTACAGTAGGCCAGTTAGTGGCCGACGTAGCTAGTGGACTCAAGTCTCACCCCACGCCAATAAACTAACAAAAAAAAATAAAATAATTTTTACGTCATGTGTTTTTAATCAGAACACACAATTCTTTCTTTTGGTAATAAAATTAAATTTGTATTGTCTCCAATTGTGCTGTTGCTTAGGAAGCGTATGGGGGGGGGGGCTACCTCTGCCCTTCAAGCCGCCAGAGCTGGTACAATGGGCCCTTTTGGCTTGATCTCGCCTCGATTTCCATTAAGATCTGAAGCTTTGAGGGCGATATCAGCGCTAGTAACATCTCAGATTACAAGACATCGAATGGCAGGGTATTCGCGCATAATGTATGGGGAAGGATCTGGAAGGAAACGACCAAGGTGTAATTTAAGGTACCACAGACTATCCTGACAGGATTTCTTGCTGGCAAAACCGGGAACTACATTAAACCAGGCCACGCCCCTTCCAATTCATTCCTCATTTATCTTCGTACCACTGAACGTCATATGACGGAAGCTCTGTATAGCGAATAGGCTAGGTGTTGGATGACCGAGGAATCGAGAGTCGATTGCCGGCAAGGCAATCTCCACAACGTCCACTCCGCCTCCCATGCAATGCATAGCGGGGGTACAGCGGCTGGGCGTGAAGCTAACTACTCACCTCCACTTCGCCATACGTCTTCATGGCGTGCTACTTAATTGAGACCAGGGATAAGTTTACCTATTTAAATTCAGCTGTCCGGTCCACAGACCGAAAACTACCGACATGGCTGTACGACATAAGAAATGGATGCTAAGTGGAGGTGCTCAGCCTCACACTGCGACCGCTTTACACCTGCCAGTATCTACCGCTTTAAATGCGTTGTCCCTATGCTTAACTAATTAAGCACCACGCCATGAAGGCGTATGGTGGAGTGGACGTACAGAGCCACGTTTTGTTGGCCTCGGCACTTGCTGTAGGTGAGTGGTCAGCTTCACTTCCCGCCGCTTTACCCCCGCGGAAAGGGCCCCGGTACCCATTGGACAGGAGGTTGGGCCATTTGCTCCATTACGTGTTCAAAAACAAACTTCATTCAGCACGCTTTACGGAATGACAAAGGTTTTCAACCGTTGTAGAAATCGTTCGGTGAGAGGCCAATACACACGGTTTTCTTAGAATTCAGGCGTGCTTCGCTCTCGCAAGATGGCAGATACAAATTATCATCCGGAAGCCCCGAAGGGAAGAGACCACTTGCGTGAACTGGGCACAGATGGTACAGTAATACTGATCTGGATATTAAAGAATTTGGGTGAGGGTGGACTGGACTCACATGGCTACCGAAAGGGCGCCATGGCGGGCCAAGATGATGGAGGGAAATGCCATTAACCAGCTACCAGACCACAGTCTAAATCTTTAGCACCTTAAACCAGGCCAGCTGAGCGACTGTTAGCTTCTCAAGGCAGTCCGTATAATGGGGTTATTAGAATTCAGAACCTAAACAAACGGATAGGAATTTGGGGCGCGCGATTTACCGTCAAGGTCCATTCAGTTATCCAGGATGTCGTGTTGGAAATCAGTCTGGCACGGACTCAAGGACTCTCGCATACGCATGCGTACGTGGTGCCGGCGCGTTGCCCACAGCGCAACGTGCGCGGTACCGCGAGCCTCCGGGCAACGCAGGCCGTGTGAGCGGTTTGCAAAGTGGGAGCCGCGGCCCCCCACGGGTGCAGCCAAACATGCTAATGGCCCAACTGATTAATTTCTAATGTTTCTCATGGGGTGAGACTGGGTCCACTTGGTACTGCGGCCACTAACTGGCCTACTGTACCAGCCCCAGAGGGTAGATGGGAGTGGAGCAGTTGGTGGCAGGGGAAACCGAAGTGCTCAGAGAAAACCTGCTCTAGCTCCACTTTGTCCACCACAAATCCCACATGACCTGACCCGGGTGTAACCGCATTTCGGGCCCCTTTCCGCGTGCCCACAGATCCGTCCAAACACGACATCCAGCATTGGGGTGGGCGAGATTCAACAAGCTCTTCCAAATAAGCGTTTTTCAAGGAAGTGTCGACAGATTCTCAACCCTTTTACATCTTTTGAAAGTACGCGTACCACCAAATGCAAAGACAACTCTTGTCCTGCGGAATCCGAGGTTATCACAGCGGTGGTCGACGTTTCTGAGGAACATGTCGCCTCAGTCTTCAGGGTCAAAATTTAAGCCGATCATAAACCAGCGGGAAAGCAGGCGGATACCCCAGAAGACAGACCCCCAGACTCGGTTATCTTCTCCCGATTAGTGTATTTATAGAGTTACGTAAGTGTTCATCATTCATTCATTATTGGAGGGGGTGGGTTTCCCCATGCACCGCGACCAGTTGTTGATCTATTGTACGTCCCCCTTTGATATTATACCAGTCGCCATACCCTCCCGGTACTGGTGCTCGCTATCAGCCCCTTTCAGCCAGCGAGTTCGGCCCCTCTACTGGCAGTGGTACCCGATACTTCCCCCTCTGTCTGAGGCATTGGAAACTACTTGGGCGGGAAACTTTTTACCTAATTTTGCTCAGAGGTCTCCTAGAGACGTGAGGATCTATTATGTGCCGTAAATCTACGACACGGGAACCACGGCTTAAAGTCCCTCCCTAAATTTTTCCGCCCTTAAAAATTCCACGACCTCCGCCGGGTTTGAACTCGCGTGAGGTGAGAACGTTACCCCTAGACTACGGAGGCCGCTACGTAAGTGTTAGTGTTGTATTAATAATTAACAGAATTCTGTAAGAACTTTACTCTGTGACTTCCCGACTTACGCTCTCATTAAATCGATATGACTTCTGACTCTAAAACTCAAATTTCGGACTGACGCCATGTTGTAGCGTTCTGGTGGCTGGAATCTGAACTCATAACGATCTGCGTTAAAATGTTACTAACTTACTTCAATGCCCAATGTTATGTTATGTTGTTTGATGTCTCTTTATTGAATCTATAATAAAAACACCGAAATTATGGCGCAAACGGGAAGGGGGGGGGTAGAATATTGGAAAATGGTTTCAAGCCTTGAGATTCAAGAACGTCCCACCTCATAACGAACTCGATCTAGGCCTCGTTTAAGTCCAAGGTACGATGACACCCACTCGACATTACCGGGATTTGCACTTTGTTCAAAACAATGTTTCGGAAACTGACTCTCTTTCCGTCCTCAGGTGAGCAGATGGGAGACATCTAGCAGAGGTAATCCCAACCACTGTTAGGATGTACAAGACCATTTTCCCGGTTACCGTGGGGGTTCTGGCCCACTGTTAACACGCTGAAGAACAACAAGGAATTACCTCGTGGCCCTGTGTTGGGCCGAAGCAAGCTCGGTTCACGCTGACACCAAGTTACGTGTTGCGAGGTCACAACAGTGAAAGCAAGTTCGTATGAGTAACGAGTTCCCACCTCTGGAGTTTGCAAATGCAGCTGTGACAGCAAGGTCAAGTTGCGCATCGCGCTACTGAACGCCCGCAATGCCTGGCCAGTTAAGCCCTTTCGTTCCTGAACCAACTGCTCTGCTGTTGTTTGGGCACCTCAGCCAGTGTTGTGGGAGATGATAATGAATTCGGTGAGGTACGGAAGGAAGCGGCCGTTGACTAGTTCAAGCCCTATTCCAGCTATAGATTCTGCTCTCTTGGGATATAGCCCAGTCTGTTAGCGACGCCTTCAGAGGGCAGGAGAGTAGCAACACGTTGCAAGGACCTGACCCAGGAGACCAAAGTGTGAAACCTCGCCGTTGTGAAGTCCAGGACAGAGCAACAGAATTGCGTTACAAGTATTGGCATTAACATTTGGAACATTTCTTTGTGAAGCATCCCCCCCCCACACACACACACACTCACGTGGGATAATGCTCAATCTTCTCGCAGAAGGTGGAGCCCGGCTTGGCGCAGGGTGGCACCCTCCCAGGAGGCGCCGGCAGGAAGGGGTAGCTGGTCCTGCAGGTACCGTAGTGGTCACACTGAGGCACGGTGCGCAGGGGACGCACCAGAGCGAGCCACAGCACACACAGACACACCTGGAACACAGCAGCTACATACAGTTCATAACAACTGCACACCGAGAACACCGACTGTTCTGCGTAAATTATTTTGTGGTTTTCCTCACGATCAATTCCTTGCAGATCCTTTCCAATTCATTCTTCGCTGCCGTGCCACTGGTCGAGAGAGAAAAGCAAAGGTATCCCTGTAACGCCGTGGAGGCCCACAGGGTAGTGAGACGTCGAGGCTGCCACATTTTCTAGACACAAAAGCCTGCATTCCGAGACCCTGACATCTGATACGATATCGGGGTTCTCTTATGGCAAGGAATTGTCAATCGTATGTAGAGCTTCCAAGCGAAGGAACCACCGCTTGTCGGCTGTCCGCACCTACTTTACATGTACTCTCCGTCTCTGAGGGCCCGCACAAGTTTACAACGAAAGAAACATATACTCAACACTTGCAGCCAGCAGGCACAGAAACTCGACAAAAGCTGGACGACCGAGCAGTCAGGATTCGATTCACGGCAAGACCGGCTCTGGGGCCCACCCACACCCCTATCGAAGGGTTGCCTCGACGGTAAGCTGACCATACACCTTACGGCATTTCATCGTTTCGAAAGACTGATACAGGCAGGCTACTACTCGTATGTGCCCATCTCGTGCGCATGCGTTCCGTGCGTCCGTACTTTCGGACCGTGTCATAGCTCAGGCGGTTATTCGCCGGCCTCCCACCTCAGCGGCCCGTGTTCGATTCTAGGTCAGGATATGTGGGATTCGCGGTGGACGAAATGGTACTGCGGCAGGTTTTTTCAGAATACTTCAGTTCCCCTGCCACTTCTCATTCCAACAATTGCTCCTCAATCCGGGGCTGGTACAGTAGGCTAGTTGGTGGTTGACGTACCAAGTCTCCCGCCCCCCACCCCAAGAAACTTGACTGGGCCGCGCAACACGGCGCGGAGCGGTTGGCTTCAAGACCTGGGTCTGGGCCGGCTGATGTAACAAAGAGATGTGCTTGTGACTACAGCTGACGGCTGACGGGAGGCTGGAGAAAACTTGTACCCTTCCCTGTGCATGGGAGAACGTCACTGAAATGTTGTGTGATGCTATCTGCCTCAGTGGCGGGGTTTAGTAAAGAGCGAAATGGATCATCCGGTTCCGCACAAGAAAATAAGCGACTGGTGCTACATGAAGTCGGTTCGAAACGTCTGGCAGTGTGTGGGGAGAAAGTGTTCAGATTCAACGAAAATCGGCGCTCACACGTCACGCGTTAGGAAACCCACAGCAAACTTGGGTACGAGCCTACACAATGGGGCATTTAAGTTTATCTAACGAGCACACCGGTTCCCACTATTGTTAGCTGCTTCGATTGGTATTCTCGGACAGTTTTAAAATTAAAATTGCCCTGTAGAATTGTTCTCTGACTGGTCGTTAGGAGTTTCTCCAGATGTAGCATGGCCATTATATCAGTCCCGAGTCTCGTGCGCACGCGCATTTCTCAGGGAATATCTGGGGTTCAATCCCAAGCACCGCCAGACACTTGAAACGATCCTGAGCTACATCAGTCTACCCACTTCAGTATTATACTCAGGCCTCGTGTCAGACCGCAAGTCTTACAAACTTAACGCTAGATGAGGTCTCTCCAGCGAAATCTCTCCTTAACCCTCTTAATTTAACTGCCATAACGATCCATACGCAGTTCTTTGTACATCTCATCAGAGGTCACAAATCTTCCATCTGTGATGACATGTTAACATGAAGTTCACGTAAACAGCACGTATAAGAATCCAGTTCGTACCTCACAGGAAACACAGGGACGGACACATGTGCACGTGAAATTTCGAGTTATTACTGCGGTAGCTGTGATGACTACTGTCTTCCGAGACGTGACGTCGTGTAGTCTGGTACATCGTTACCGACGTTTCGGAGGTACATGCTGACTCCATCTTCAGAAAAAGTGAGTAAAAACCATCTGATGTGGCACGTAGCATACATGTCTCATTTATTTATGGTTCATTTAACGAAGCTAGACCGCATGGCGCCGAACCGTAAGGTGGTTGACGATTGCTAAATTGGAAAGGATTTGTATCGACGCTGTCGTGGCCCATTTCAAGACGATATTTCAGAATTCCTCTGAAGATACTGAAAGTCTTCAGCCAGAATTCGCGATGCCCCGACAGAGTACAAGCCCGAAGTGATGTCACTTGAGCCAGTTCGCTCCGTAGCGTGCATGTTGTGGCAGACGTTTTACTAAGCTACCCTGAAGATGGAGACAGCAGGTTCCTCCGAACCGCTCACGATATGTCTGGCTACACGGAGTGTTATCCCAACTGGCAAGTCTTTAGACGTGTGACTTTTTCTGGCCCAGACGTAAGATTTCTGTGTTCATGGCAATGAACCTCAGGGAAGCTTTTGGATGCCTCAGTGTCGACCGGTGACAACGCCCACACCGCAGTCATGTGCGCACATGACCCAACAGAAATCAAAGAAACGGTTTCCCTTATCTCTGCTCCACGGAGAACGGAAGGCAGACAGGACCCTGGTACAAATGTCATTCCTGGCAGTCTACACTTGGACAAGTTCCAGTTTGCTGGCACCAAGGCCTTGTGAGTGACACGCAAGCCAAAGGCCTCTGAATTGTTATTGGACACTGGTTCATCGGTTTTCGACTGACTTGAAGAGAAATCGTGACGCTGTGGCGAGCCAGATATCAGAGAAAGCATTGCAATGGGCTGGCCAAGAGCCGTCAGGGAAGGCCTGACCTCGGCCTCAGCATTTTCGTGTGTCTGCCTGAAATTTGTTATGAACGACGTGACACTGCTGTGCGTTGCCACTGCGTATTTATTAATTTCACGGCCAACCATTTTATTTCATATGTTTGCCGGTGTAATTCCCGATGAAAATCCAACGGAAAGTCTACATTCAACTCCTTCCCTGAGTTCCGTCTATGGGCCCTGTACTTTTTTTATTGCTAGTGGGGTGGGACTAAGTCCCTCGTACTGCGGCCACTTCTGGCCTATTGTACCAGCCCCAGATGATAGGTGAGGGTGATTGTGGAGCAATTGGTGGAATGAAGATTGGCAGGGGAAACCGAAGTACTCGGAGAAAACCTGCCCCAGCGTCACTTTGTCCACCACAAATCCCATTTGACCAGACCCGGGATCGAACGTGGGCCGCCGCGGTGGGAAGCCAGCGACTAACCGCTTGAGCTATGGCGCGGCCTATGGACCCTGTACTTAGTCACCTAAGCCCGACATCTACATAAACGTAGTATCATTCTCCCACGCACATTTCCTTCTTAGCCCATCTGTCCGGCGTCAGGTTTCTCTCAAAATGTGCAGAACTGAAATAATAAAAATGCTTGTTCATAATGAGAGTCGTGTGAAAACGGCCGCGTGCGTGTCTGTCTAGTGAAATTCTGGCTATCACTTGCGCCGCAGCGCCATATAGTGATCGCTTTATGAACTATTCGGTCGCCAGGCTACAGAAGAGAGATAAACATTGATCGCGCTTGCGCCACGAAGAGGTTATGGTTCCCTAGCAACCAGAGCTGGGACGGGCAGAAACGGATAAACAGAGATAACTATGGACGAAAAGATTTTACTTTTATGTTTCCTGATAGTTAAATACGCTTTTGTTTGCTAGGGACTGAAAACCGTGGAACAGAAACAGACGCAAGAGTCGTTACGCTGGCAACAATGTTACATCCGCGTGCATTATTTGGACAATACAGATCATAAAATATATTTTATGACCGATGTGATACGTGTGGTTTCTTGAACAAATCTCATAGAAAGTGGCATACAAACCGTCACTTGTGCTTCCTACTTTATGAATATTTGCCTTCATTGTTATGCAGAAACGTACACTCGACTGGAAACGGATATAAACGGCATTGACTGTCCTTGCTAAGGGAAAGTGGCTCCTGGGAAATCTTGCGGATCATTGCCACCGCACAAGGCGTGGCGCTGCGAGCAATATCGCACCAACACGGAAGGCCGTAGAATTTTAGTGGCATTCTGAACATGCACTGAAGTATGTTCACAAAACAGTTAGGCATTTTAGGGACACTTGCAAGTCACTTCTAGCCACATATGCCGTCCCGGGTTTCCAGGAGCGCATTATATAGGGGCGCCGGGGGAACTGCCCCTTTGTCTAATTTTTGTGGAAAAAAGGTAAAACTGAAAAACAAAGGAAGTATACCAAATATTAATAAAAGAAATAAACGCATCTTTTAAAAATAACGCTCTTGTATACTCAATGCTCTACGACGATCACTAAACATAGCCTTAGTTGGTTTAAACGTAACATCCACTTAAACGTAAGCTTGTAAGCAAATTTTCTGGCTCCCCCCTTCACCTGTAGCTCCACTTACTCAAAGCGGTGGGCTTTGTTTCGCTCTTGCAGACATTTTAACCGACTTTCCAATTTGGCTCACTTCATTCCTGAAAACGGAGGCACCATGTCCTTGCGAAATGGTGATGGCCACTGCCAGACTATAAAATGGCCACAATCTCATACATCTGGTTTAAATAATTTGGCAACGAAAGGGCAAGGTAACGATTGCCCCTGTGAAGTCGCTGTATCTTTTGCGCTGTGCCGGTTCATGGCAACGAAAGGGCACGAGACGTGAGATCAACATCCAAGACATTCCCACCCGTACAGACCTAGCGTACTCAGTATAGCGACTGGCCACGGGCTGGACGATCGATGGGTCGGTGTTCGGGTCCCGATTGGGTCAAGAATTGTCTCTTCTCCATGTTCTGGAGACCGGCGCTGGGGTCCACTCAACCTCCTATCCAATGGGTACCGGGGGGTTTTTCCCTGGGGGTAAAGCAGCAGGGGCGTGAAGCTGACCACTCACCTCCAACTAGTCCCGAGGTCAAGAATGGCGTAGTGCTTAGTTAGTTAAGCATAGGGACAACTTTACAGACCTACGTATCTGAAGCAAAGTCGGGGAATACCCACTGCCCAACTTCTGAGGGCTCGCATGTTTGGTAAAGGGATAAGCTAAACCTGTCCCGGCCCTTGGCTAAGCA